GGTTCCTCCTCACCACACATCTACAGTTGGCTTGCAGAAGCACTCAGCTTCATCCAGACACAGACTTGACCTTGGCTGGTGGAATGGTGCCATTTCCTGCACGTAGGGAGGATCTGAACCCCCCTACAGTGGTGGGAGCAAGAGGCTGACCGCTGTGCAGCAGCAGTGGTGGTGCTGGATGAGCGTGGGGGCACAGCCCTCTGGGGTCAGGCAGTGCCTGGAGCAGCCTCACTGCTGCAGCAGAAAAAAAAATTAAATAAAGTGCAACGAACCCCACCTAGTTACTTTACAGCACAAATCAGAGACAATCGAGAAACAAAAGTCCATTTGAAGTGGCTTAGTTTCACTGGGAAAATACTCAACAATTGGCTGGGACGTTGGGGATCACTTCATGCTTTAGTATCCAGTAGCCACTCTATGGCTGCTGCTCGCCCTCACCCAAGTGGCCGTGCAGTCCCCAGCTTTGCCAGTAGCATGGCCACCCACCCACCTACATCTTGAGGGCCCCCAGCACTTTGCTCTCCAGCGGGGTGAGCTCTGTGGCCCCAGGAGCAGCCCTACTCAGCTCCTCGAGGCACTCGAGGAGGGAGCCCCGCTGCCTGTTGCGCCCTGCGGGTGCACGGAGCAGGCAGCAGCTGGGGCACAGCAGGGGCTGGCCACCCCCCATAGGGGCGATGCTGGGCCCAAACATGGGGCACTGGCTGGCATGGGCAGGGCCGTGTGGTGCCGTGTGGGGGCCGGAGACGAGCAAGCTCATCAATGGGACAGAGATCCCTGCCTGGGCCCCATGTCCCCCTGCCAACACACCTCCTTGCGTGGAAAGGAATTTATGGAGATGTGGCACTGCGATCCTCTGCTGCTGGAGCCGGGGTGCAGGCCAGGGCAGCTGTGACACCCACTGCAGAGGGGAGTGTGTGGCCACACCGTGTCCCTCCCTTTCAGACCTGCACTGCCCACAGAGCGCTCTCACAGCCTGGAAGACACAACCTGCCTGCACCCAGCCGGACCCCGGCGCTGCTCAGGGCCCTGGGAAGCAGCGGGTGCTCTGGGGACAGAACAGTCGCTGCAGGATGTCCCCAGAAACACGGGTGCCTTTGTGTTGTTGTGGGTCAGTGAGGGTAATTCAGCCTCTAATTACTGCAGACCAGATCTACACGGCTGCCCCCATGGACTGGACTGCTGGGGAGGCTCAACCCGGCGAGCCAGCGGGGCACCAGCTCCCTGCGGGTCTCACAGTGATGTCTCCGGCCTCCTCCAAGCACAGCACCTGCTGGCCCACTGAGAAACCCAGTGTTGTGACAGGTGGAAAACCTCCTCCCAGGAGCCGTGTCACCAGCTTTTTAGTGGCCTGCCTTCCCCACACAGGCAGAGACCAACCGTTAAGATGGGAATGGCTTAAAAAAACAAAACCTTACAGCCCACAGAAGCAAACAGGTATCTGCTTTCTACCTGTACTACCATTTTTTGACAGGTGAAAATGTGATTTATCTGATAATACTGATTTATAGCATTAAGTAATGCTTGTTAATATTTTACTTTCATTTACATGATTTCTTCACTTAATGAAGTTGGCAGGGGGGAAGCTATTTGCAACAATTATGAGAGCTGGGCTGTAGCAGAATATGCAACAGTACAGCCAGCACAATTCTCCTAGCAGATTTTCTTTTTATATGCAATTACAAAATTAGACTAAAACCTGCCAGAAGCTGTCATCTAAAGATGTAAAACTTCTGTAAATATAGTTTCTCCAGTAGCAACGCTGTTGAGCTGCTGTAACACAGCACAAACAGCATTACTGCATACTATCTGCCACCTTCTGTACTCATGATGGCTTAACTGCCACTTCCATTGTAAATCCTATTTGTCAAGGATTTATAAATTGGCTGCATTTACTTGTCTCACTCTGAAAGCTGGCTCACACCTCTCTCCTATGGTGCTTTTACCACTTCAATACTGCTTTTTGAGTTCTCGGCTCAGACGTTCTGCAGCAGAAGCCTGACTTTAGCCCCAGAACAATTAAATCCTCAGCAGAGGCTAAGACACTGCCCTTATTTTAACCAAGAAGAAAATAAGGAAAACCCTGATCGATTCCATTCAGTATGTGCTTTGAAGAGCTGCTGCAGAACTTCTAGAAAAGGACTGATGGAAACTGGACTGTCCCCAGCGGGTGACCCCCTGGGGCTCCCCGCTCACTCACTTCTGCTGGCGGCGCGGGGAAGCTGGGCAGGGCTGGTGGCAGCGGTGTCCCCGGGTGCTGGAGCTGGCCCCGGGTTATGAGCTGCAGGCTGCACGCAGAAGTAGGGCAAGGAATAGCCTCAGTGGAGTCCGGCACAGGGCAGTTGGATCTAGGAGCTAAGTATATTGCAGGGGCTTTCCGCGGAACCTGTGCTGTCACACATACGCTCTGGAAACCATCAACAGACCTGGATAAATTGTCCCTGTTGAGTATTTAGCTACATGACTGGTCCACTTTCAAAAGTTGTTTAAGAATACCGTGATGATGCACGTATTGTTTGCAAAGGAGCTGGGTAGGGAGCCTTTTCTTTCTAAAGTGCATCCCCTGCAAATCTATCCCAAAATAATTAATATTAAAAATGGTACACTGTTTTTAGTTTAAGTTTCTTTTTGCAGAAGGATAAAGTAGCAGAATCTCCAATTCTGACCAGTTTCAGCTTTACGAGGTTGGTGACAGAACAAAGGACATAGAGGACTGTGCAGTGGGTTATCACTTCCAGTCTCTCAACTACAAGAAAATTTCTATTCCAAAGAATAACTTAAGAAGCTTACCAGCATGGACCAAGGAATTCAAGAAAATGGTGACAGTGAAAGTGTTTCCACCTTGTGATTCCATGTTTTATGAACCAAAAGCAACTGATGACAAAAGTAATTTTTATGACTACCCACCTAATACTTCCCTTCTTGAAGAAGTTTCACTTGTTTACAAGTCTGATAATGTAACGGCACTTCAAGCCCATCAGCACAGAACAGCCTCTGCAGTGATGGACATCCAGGACTTATCTGAAAACACCCTGACTTGTCCTTCTGAGGGAAGAGTGCTTGGGCTTCTAGTGCATGCACCGCATAGGGCGAGCACAGGACAGGATGGGGTTTGTTTGCTCAACAAAAATCAGATGCAGTCTTGGAGTACTACAGGTGTTAACAGCACAGCCACTGAGCTGTTCTGCTTTAAAAATGCCCTGGAGTGAATTAATGCCCTGGAATGAATTAATGCCCATAATCAATTCAAGCATCTCTGCTGATATCATGAATCATTAAAAATCTCATCTGCAACCCCAAAAGCAAAACTGTTCTCAAAATTAAATAGAGCTCTCTGAGTACATACTTAAATGAGATAAAAGCAGCAGGGCTCCTGCTGATGGATGGCTCCCTTTTAACATCATCAGGAGTGACTGCTTAGACGGTCTTTGATCTTACCTCCGAGTTTTAAATGTGGTAGAAGCAAGCAGTGTCACAAAGAAGATAGATTTTGTGGAGGTTTCTGTGCTCACAGCAAGTCCTTCCATGTTCCATTTAATACAGTGTTACTGAATTTTCAATCTGTTTGAAACTACTTTGGAGCAATTAAACTAATTCCAGGATTGTAACCTGGCAGTCTGACGGTTACTAGTCACCAGGCGTGGAGAGGGAATTTCTAAGAGCATTTACCAATTTTTTTGCTGTCCTAAACAGAATTTCAGGTTGTGTGTATGTAGTTTTTGCTTACCCAGAGGTCAAAAGAACATCCCTCTGTGGAATCCATGCTACAACGATCACTGCTACATAGAAGATGCTGCATGTATGAGATGACAGTGACACACTAATAATTTTTAATTTTTAACAGATTTCACAATGGAAGACAAATAATTCACAGGAGTTTTAGAGACTTTATTTATGTATAAACAATTTAAACACTTTGCCATAAATTATCTTTGCCTGTCTCTAGTCTTTGCTTAGCAGCAAATTAAAATTAATATAAAAACTCAATGAACAATTCATACATGTATATTACAAAAAAGTTCTTGTACCAAAGTTCTTATTAGACTTTTTTTTTTTTGATTTTATTTTTTTATTTTTTTTGTGGTGACTGTAATGTGATTGTCTCAGTTTCTCGACCAAACAAACACACTAATAATTTTTAAATCTGAAACAGTGATTGTGCCTTCTGGCTGATGTATGTACAGGGTGATCTGACGTGGTGCCCATTTGCAATAGTGTAACACAATGCCCACAGCTCTACTGGAACTGATACCAACAAACTACTGAATCTAAACAGACTACACCCTGTAACTGTGTTATACTGTCCACAATGGAAATCTTCAAAGACAAACAGAGTATGAAATTTATTTGTAGTGATTTATAGCCACCATTTTGAATGTAACTTTACACTCTGCCCTCTTTGAATAAGTTAAGCTTCAGGCCAGACAAATGGAGGGTCAGAGTGCAAGTGCGGTTTTGTTATTCTTAAATATATTTTCCTTTATTATTTCCAGTGTGCTCTCACTTGCATTCTCATTTTCCTCCAGTTGCTACACACAAATCACCCCAAAGTCATGTTTTAAATGCACCTGTATTTTGCTTTAAATGAAAACCTCTTGGATATTTATCAAACAAGCAGTCTGAATCATTTGTGTTTCATCAGCTGGTTAGTGAAAGTGGCCCACTTGGATTTCTTAGTTTGCTCACGTGTGAATGGAGTGAGGTAATACAATACGAGGCCTTCTTTTTATTTTTCGTTAGACCCAGAACAAGTGGGTAATATTTCAGGGGTACTGTTTAATTTGTATGGTTAGAGTTTTCAGTCAGGCTTTAGTCCACTTCAGGATGTGGTTTTTAATCACTTGAACAGTAGCATTTAACTCAAAAAATGAGCTTTTTTTGCCACTTACTATCCCAAAGTAGCTCAGCCTAGTGCCCCCATGTAGGTCTTCATCTCCTTAGGAGAGGAGATAACAGTTACGACTACTGATTCATCCAGCAAAGGATGACAGCAGGTTAATTTGTTACCTCTTTCCCATTTCATTCTGTCTTAAAAACTGGATGTTGCTGCTACTGTCTGCTAGCTCTGGGTACTGCTCCACAGGCAGGACATAATATCCCTCGTAACCTTGAACCCTTCCCGTGTTCAGAAGCTGTTGCTTCTCTCCGTCTGTCCATACGCGGCTGCCCTCGCGGCCGTCCCGTGCCTTCTGCTGCTCCTTGGCCCACGCTGACCCCAGGGCTCGCTGCCGAGCCTGGTCTAACACTCTCGCCTTCTCCTCGTCCAGCGTGTCGGCGGTTAGCCCGTAGCGGATGTTGATCAGCAGGGTGGAGTACTGAAATTCAATATTCGTGAACCGTCGAGTCCTTCCGTTGATTAGGAGAGCTGGCTGGGAAACGGTCACGTTTACTCCGCTGTCCAGGACCTTCCGCCCACTGGTCATCGCGAGGGTTACGAGGTCGCTATCAGCTGAGCCTATCTTGACAAAGTAATGAGTATCCTTCCCCTCGATGCTGTAGTGCATTTTCTCCAGGTAGTGAGCACTGTTAAGGACAGAGGCAATTTTTCTGCTATCGTCTGTGGCTATGCTGGAAATGCCAGTGGTTACACGGCCTTCCTTTACAGCAAACATGATTCCTTTCCCAATAATAGGAGTGCTTGTTGCAAACCAGTGACCTGCTTTTTCTCTAATATTGGCATGTAATCTTTTAGATATGACCTGTCCCTCAAGAGCCATGAAAGCTTGATTGTGTCTTTCTGTTGTCTGCTGAACTCCTGTAATTAGCTGGGAAAACAAAACAAAACAGCAAAAAAGATAAAGACCTGAAAATACCGATGTCAGAGAACAGTGCTAATCTTTGGTTTTGCTTTTCTAAGGAAAAGGTACACAGCAAAAAAATCTAGGCTGTAGAAAGACCACCCTCAGTTACCTCTTTAAAATTATTTTACAATCAATAACACCAAATAAAAGGTTTCTCACAAATCACCTTTCATAGCAAATACATACCGCGAATCTCTGGGCTATTTATAGTTACATGATGGCAATTACAGGAATAACTAAAATCCAAGTCTAACACAATTTTAATCAGATCTTAGAACAGAATCAATTTGTTAAAAGATGGCGCTTAACTTTTGGAAACTTTTGCCCAGAGATTTCAATTGGTGTATAGGACTAAAATGCTTCTGTAAACTTTTTGGAAATGAGATTTGGGCTCCAAAATATCGAAGTAATTCCTGAGAGAGGATTTAGATTCTCAAATGACTTAGAAGCAAGTAGAAGTGTTACGTTTTGGTTTACACAGTCATATCAGTTGTACTTCCATAAACGTGAAGTAAATCTAGCACAGACTAAGTTTGAAACTGGTCTACTACTCCTTTTAAGTATATTAAACTGGCTGGAATTTATTGTAAAGGCAGAATGCTTAATACCATTTCCCACCCTTAACCTGACAAGAATAAACACTGTAACAGCAGTAGCAAACCAAAGCCTCTGTGAGAAAAGCTTCAAACAAAAAACGATGACAAATCCTATTACAGGGCGGGGAGTAAAACCATTTCTTAGCAGTACAGCAAAGTACCAACCTAAGTTCATTGTAACAAACAGGTTATTAGGGTAATTTTACCAAAGGTACAACAGATGATAATTTAGCATGCAGGTTCCTTTTGTCACTGTTAATCAAGTTAATCAAGTTACAACTCATTAATCAAGGAAGAACTCAATAAAAGACAAACTAATGACACCATCATTATGATAACAACGAAGGCTGGCAAGAAAGGCATCTGTTCATTAGTATAAAATCTAGCTATACTCACTTCCATTTTACACTGATGAAATAAATGCGTGGCCTTGCATTGTAACTACCGAGGAGCCAGCAGTTCTATTCATAGAGTGGGGCAAATGTACCAAAAAAAAGAACTTCACTTTTCTGCCTACCTGGCCATTTTCACATGCTTGGCTCTCAGACAACTCATATGGCGGTGACACAAAGTACATTTTTGCTCTAGGGAAACCAGGAATAATGTTGCTGAGCTGAAATCCAAACATCACCAACCAGCTTTTGACATCTAAAAATCAAAAGTAAGCAGGCAAGTGAGAAATAAATGTGCATAAGTACAAGAAATCCATAAATGCAGGAAATCTACCTTTGACCCCCTTAGTTTCAAGTAGCAAGTATAAATCCAAGTTGAATTTATAATTTATATTGCACTTTACAGAACCGAGTATTCCACAGCAAACAAACACAGGTACTGTTGCTTCAAATGTATCCTGAATAGTTGATCAGCGATACACCACCTCTCATTCTTTTTCCACGATAGCACATGGAAAAACCCTTTACTGTAGGCAATACTTGTCCCATCTCTGACACCTTCTGACAGGGTTAATGTAACCCATAAACGAGATTGTGAAACGGTGCTTTATTAGGTTAGCACCCCCGAGAACACTGAGAAGTCCTCTGGGAAATGCACGGCTTCTCTTCTATGTCCTACGCCCATTAGGTGTTGTCTGGTCTCAGGAGGCTCCACTAAGTAAGGGCAGTCAGAAGCCAGGCTGGAAATTCAGATGTTTGCATTTCGGGACCACAGGCAGCCTCCCCACACACCAAGCACAGCCGGCAGGTGAGGGGCTGCCCGGCAGGGTCATGGCTCCGCGCTGGGACGTGCCTCGGGGAGACCCAGGGCGCGGTGTGACCTGACAAGCCCTGCCTTCATTTCTGGCTGAAAAAGAGCAAGTAACTTCCGCTAAGGCAACAGCAGTAATTCTCATTCGGCAGGTACAGAGAACTAATGATTTACTGTGCATCATTTATCTGGCTGTCACAGGCTAAGAGACGGTGTGGGGGCACAGGCACTTCTCGTTTCACCAGGGCTGTGCTCATTTCATCACAACCAGTTTTTAAAACCTCTGCCATTCCCAGAGGCCTTCTCTCCTCGCAGGCCTCCAGCAGCTCCCGGCGCTATCACTGAGCACGGTGCTTGCAGCAGGCAGGCACGCGGCGTGCAGAGCGCCTGCGGAGCACCTGCCTGAAGCTGCAAACCTCGGGGCGTGCTCAGCCCCGACCCAGCACCTGCATCCCCAAAAGTTTTAGCTGTGGTAATGTTGCATCACAGAAAGGGTAATACTTATTGGTTGTGGATATCTGACAGCAACCATCTCCTTTTCTTAGCCGTCCCTACAGTGAAGTGAGTAGTAAAATGCTCTGCTTCTGTGAAGATATGTACGTGCATCTCTGGTTACACAAGAGAGAGAGGTTTGTTTTTTTTTTCAGTATGAAAACCAGGGTGCCAACACAACCACTTGTGCAAGACAACTTGCTTACGAGCAATCTGCATAGAGTAACAATTTGATTAGAACAACAAATATTTACATCATCAATGGAATTTTGATTTTTTTTTTTTTACAGACTACAAGGTATGTGTTGTACCAATGTGCAATATATTTCAATATATTTTCCAGGATTTCAGCCAATGGATGGATAAATGAAATAAATGCAACTTCTGACTATAGCAAAATATCAGAAGATGACATTGAAGATTGCAACCAAACAGCTGTGGATGCAAATAGAATTTTGTTGAATTTAGGACAACAGAGTTTGATCCCAAGGTAGTTTAAGTCAATATTTTGACCTTATCAGGCACAAATCCCACTATCTTCAAATTGCAAAGCAGCTACAGTAGAGCCACTAGTGTGTTACACATACAACTAGGTCCCAAAGAACTAATGAAACCTGCTATGATTTTCTTTGAAGGAAATGCACACTTTTCTTGAAATTCAAATTACTGCTAAAATTAAGATGGCTCATTTTTTAAAATATCATTGCTGTAATTATTGTATACTACAGATTCAACTTTGAAAAATGCCTTTCCTGAAGACATGTTAATTACCTTTCCTTTTAAAAATTGCTGGCAGCTACTGCAAGTACTGTGTGATCTTACTAAGTGAAAATTTATTACTACTTAAGAAGAGGTTACAAGTTTTACCCAATTCTAGCATACATGATCAAAACTATTTTATTGTTTCTCTTTCTGAGCTGTATACATTCCATAAAATTTCCTAACCCTTACAGGAGGAAATGATTGTGAAAAAATCAAGGTTTTTGTTTTAAAGACTAAAGACAGTTTGCATATTAAAAGCCAAATGGGACAGTGAGTTTTAATTAAATCCATTCTTGGTGCTAATTCATAATGTGCCCATGGGCTAACTCAGGAGTTAATTTTGAAAGCAGCCCTGAAGGGAAGAGATACTGAGAAGTTCTGGTTCCTGATTCTCCAACCAACCTGCCAGTGTTTCTTGTAGGAGATGTCTCTTTTCTTTAAATATTTCATGGACACATCTCCATACAGTACTGAGTTCAATACGAATAGCTAGATGAAACTGAATATTTAGGTCAAAGTATTTTATTTTTTCCCTTCCTGTTATTCCTTGCAGCTTCTCTTTTAGCACCAGAGGAGTGGTATCGAAGAACAAAAGCAGCCAGACACAAAAAGGAAAATGGCCCAACAGCACAAAATGGAAAATGGCCTGACCTGGATGCTCCCACACCAGCAAGCTGGCTAGTAAGGGGAAGCCTGATTTCCTCCCCAAAAGAACACACAAACTTATTATTACTGTTATTTATAAAAAAAAAAAAACACGCAATGAAGTCTCACCTGTTACATAATTCTTTAGATCCAGTTCATTGCTGAGGGGGTTGTTACTCTTGAACATGTACAGGTTGAAAGGGGCAGGTTCTTTACCAATGTTTTTCCACATTGTGTAATCAGGAGATGTCCAGCGTCCAGCAAGGACATCATAGTCCCTTTGGGTAAAATGGACGAGTTTGGTTAAAGGATCATACAGCCCTCCATGGAACCCAATAACCAACTGGAAATCGGGGTTAGAGTCATAATAAATCTCCCCATACGCCGTGTACTGAAGCTGTTTGATCATGAGGCCGTTGATGCTGAATACAGCTAACGGAGTGCCTGTGTTATCAGAGGCAACATAATATTCTTCCCCGCTGCTACTCTCCATTGCAAACAGGTGGCCTTGCAAATCGTAATACAAAGAGGTAATTTCTGAATTGGAATGATTGTAGACATGAGTTACTCTTGTTGGGTTGTGAAGATCAGCATAAAAGTACTGTAGATGATGCCCTAGGTTAGTCTTACAAGAAGCCCTTCGGCCAAGTCCGTCGTAACGGTACTGAACGCTCCACCCATTCGCTTTGTTGTAAGCTCTTGTTAAGAGTCCTTTGGAGTTGTACTCAAAAACATCTGAGCCTCGTTGACACAGGAATCCATCATCATCGATTTTGTAGGGTATGTCACCTAAGCGTGTAATCCTGTCTCTTAGATCGTAGCGCAGCGGCATCAGCCGGACGCTGTTTCCAGGATTCAGAAGGTGAAGATTTCCATTCAGATCGTAACTATAACGCCAGGTTGGCCTATCGTTTACTGCTACACTTTGCAGTTGTCCATCTCCATCATAATCGTAGGTGTACTTGGTTGTGTTGGCATACGGACCAAGTTTCAGTTCTCGCTTAGTTACCCTTCCCATACTGTCATATTGTACAGTCATCCAGTACATCAGAGATCTGAACATTTCGTATTGAACTTCTTTAATGCGCCCATGGGTATCAAAGTGTTTACTCAGTGTCATTACTGCTGTAGTAATAATTTGATTTATATCATAATAAATAACTCCAAATTTGCCAAAATGTTCTACTTTGCCAGAAATCTCATCATAACGGTAAAGATCAACTGGAAGGGGTGTCTCGCTTATTATAGGTTTGATGCTCGCAATTCGAAAACTATTATCATGATATGTATAATCAAACCTTGCATTGACCATACCCTCCTCAGAGAATCTATAGATTTGTTTGTCAACAAGAGGACCAATTTTACGATAGCGGATTGTACAAGAAAATCCTCCACTTTGCAAATTCACCATTTTTAGGACACCTGTAGTTTCATCGTATCCAAAAGTAACTGCAGTACTGTCATAAACAATCTCAGATAATTTGGATAGCTTCCCATACTTGTAAAAGACTTGTCGACCAGTACCTAAAAATGATGTTTTCAAAATCCTCCCATCATCACTATAATCAAAAATCACTGATGCGTTGCTTTCAGGAGGATTATAAATATTCCTAATGTAGCCAACAGACGTGTGAGTTGACATGCTGTGCCGAGCAACACTAGGCATGGTAACAGCGTGGAGCCGGTCTGAAGAATCGTACTCGAAGATGTACTGCCGTTGGCTCTGAAGCAGTAGTACCATCGACTATAGAGAATAAAAAAACAACACACCCACAGTTACTGTCTTTCATCTTGTGACCTCTGAGAGGGCATTTAAAAAAAGAAAAGTTTACTGAGGAGGCAGTAACATCAAATTAATAAAAAGAGACATATATACATTAGTTAGGGGTACAAAGCTGCTCTGGAGTATTGTCAGATTGCCGGATGAGAGGATCTGCTGCTTGGAAATCAATATGCTGACACTCCAGAGAAAGTGTAGGTTAGCAACCTATTAGCTACTCTCCCTTTAGTAGGATTTTTTAATTTTTTTTTAGGATGCAGAGGAGTTAGGTAAATTACTTGATTTATCTTTCTGCAAGCAATAGCAATTCACAGCTATTGCCATGAAACACAAGAGAAACTAAGAAAACATCAGCTCTGGCTTGCTTAAAACAACAAAGAAGGTAGAGGGAAAATAATATGCAGTTTTGAAGTATTTAAGACTTTAATGATTAAAGAATCTTAATTAGGATAAATAAAAATGCATTATAATATTTTATTTTAATACATAATGATTAGAGATGAATTACCTGTTTCTACTTGAACTTTTGGTCAGGTTTAGTCATGTGGTTTTGGTCTTAATTAAGCACAACTCATTATATTAGTTTATGCCACTATGTGGTGGCCTACTTGCTTTTTATCTTTATCAAAAGATAAAAACCATGAACAAAGTACTTAATATTAAAAATAAGTCAAATTCAGTTGACTAATTGAAAACTAAGAACTTTTGAGATCAAGTACAAAGGGATTATTAACAGCTTACATCATATGTAACTGCATGTCAGATTTTAGATATTTAGATAATGTGTTAATATGTTAAATACAGCATTTAAAAATGAAGTGGAGTAGTACTGCCTCTTTGTAGCTATTTTCAGAACATAAGACTACATCACCTACTTTTTCTAGGTAGGTGTAGCTCCAAACCTTCCCATCCGCAAACATGCGTGATATGATCCTGCCTTGCTTATCTATATCTGTTCTTTCACTCATGGCACCACGCTGAAGCCCAGCCAGGCGTCCATTGAAGAAATAGGACACGTTGACAGCAGCCAGACCACTGCTAGGCAGCCAAAGAAAAGGCCGTCCTAGTTGATCGTAAATTATCCTCAGTGTAAATTTCCGGTGATCGTCATAGATCTTTTCTGTGCGTATATTCCGGTCGTAATCAATGGACAGTAAATTCCTTCCATGAACCTATTGAAATGAAAGAAGGCTGTATTCAGTGACCAGTGGGCACTATGCTTGTATGAACTTCCATAGTGAAAGTAGCATGCATAAGGATGAAAAGTAGCATGCATAAGCATGAAATTTCCCCCAATTTTTGAAAAGTGTAGAACGCTTTCTAATTAACAGGCTTTGATGTTCCATTTCCAGGTATTTTCAAATATGTTGCTTCAAGTGTTTTACTGGGATATCTCCCATCTCCCCACAGCATGGGAGCTGAAGTCTTACAAAGACTTCCCTCTTGTCAGAGTGGACAGACACACCGCATACCTGTGTCTTCAATTGCAAACAGTTAACACTTAACAGCAAAATGAGTGATTCTGCATGGAAGTAACTTCTCTACTTCTGCTGTCACTACTTCTGATTCTGCATTCTACTTCTGCTATCAGTAGTTCTGAGCCTTTTTCCCTACAATGACTCCAAGGACAATAGAAAAAAAAAAAAGCAATTTTATAATCTTCTTGGAGGTTTAGCCACTTAGGTTTTGTAGCTGGAACACCCTGCTTACTAATTGATTCCATTAATGCTTTCTTCATTTACTTTCCAAACATTCAAGAGCTCTCTCAAGCAACCCCATCAGTTGGGTTGTGTTTCATTTCTTCTGATCAAAAATCCCGGTAATACAGGCTGGGATGGAGTTCTGATTGTGTGAAACAAATGTTCTAAGTAATTAGGTTAAATATTTTTCATTTTATCCAGATTTTTCAGTTACAATTTTCAAATTAAAGCACAGCATGAAGTGTTTCAGTCCCTGATTTTTTACTTTTTTTTTTTTTTTTTAAACAAAAGAGCAAAGCAGAAACAAAGGAGTATAAGAATGCCAAATGGTGAGGTTTCTACTGAAAGTGCTATAATGAGAGATATAAAAATATATTCACTGGAGGCTAAACCACAGAATTCAGGCTAATGCTGTAATCTGATAAAGCTTCTTAAGTAATTTAATTGTAGATGCGTCATTAATAAAGTAGAAGTCTTTAAATTAGATATCATTTGACAGCAATGACTACTTAAAAAGTATTCATCGGTTTCTGGGAATTTGTTCTTCAGCTTATGTTTTACAGTAGCTTTGATTAAGCAACGTTTTCTGTTATCCAAAATTAAACTGCACATCAAACAATATGTAAATTAACCCTGAGCCTTTCTCGAGGACATAAAAGTTATTCTGAGATATTTTCACTGGCAGGGGTAAACCCAATTCCCATCCCAACCTACTCTGTAGTAATTCAGTTATACTGAAAGCAAATTTAAAATTAATACAATTTTGTGTTTGTAAAGAAGTAATTATTTCAAATTATCGCTCATTATCCTCATTTTTTCCATTAATAAAATTTAGCTCTTTAGCAGTTTGCATTTCCTCAGCGGCAATCATTAGGAAAAGCTTTTTTTCTGTAGGTTTTCCCAAAGGTTTTTCCAGCACCAACTTCTCCTGTGAGTCAAAGCAAAGACAGGGTATTTTTTTAAAAAACATCTTGGCAAAATAAATCATATTCTGCTTTCCCAGTTTAATGGAAACAAAGCTATGGAAGGCAACTCAACATCAATACTTTCTCAACCATTTACCTTTGTAAATGAGAGATCGATCCTTATGACAGAGACAAGGCAAATTCTTTCCTTCATAGAGGTCTTGGGGAAGCAGGAGAAAGCTTCGCAAAAACACTTAGCTGTCACATTAAAATAAAAGACTAGCCTATGATGGAAAGATCCTGATCTTCTACGGATAGGCAGAGTTATTTTTTTTTTTCTCCAGTCTTTCAGAAACATTGAGAATCAAATTCTAGCCTTTTATTTTAAATTTCTGAAGCTTCATAAAGCAGTTGGGTTTTCTGTGGATTCCTCCCTTTCTTCCCTCCAGCACAGAAGGTATAACTGTAATCTGCATGTAGGAAAGTCTGATTCCAGGTATCCTCCCTCTTCCCAAAGACATCATAAAGGTTATTTTTTTCCCCTTAGATAACTAAAGTATTAGTTTTTGAAATGATTACATAGAAGAAGAGCTATGCACATAGATAAACATCACTTAAAGAATAAAGAAGCACCTACCCGGGTAACTCAGTAACTTCATTTTCATTTGTAAAATAAGTAAAACCACAGAGTGTAATTGTAGTGTCATATTAATTATATAGAAACCCAAACAAAATGACAAACTCCCACTCTTCTTGGGAACACTAATAACACTATGGCAAATATCATGACTGAAGATTATCTAACAAGCCATTTCTCTTTTGTTCTGCTACCTACATGCACATCTGATTCTTCCTTTCACTGCCGCTGAACAAGTCACAATAGGGAAGAGCCCTTCTGTGCATCGGTAAGAGGTCTTGCAACAAAAATCCCTGAAGTTGCAGTGTATCAAAACCTTTCTGAATGAAATTATCTAGACTTTATCTGAAAATACTAGCAAGACATTAGACGCGGGGCACATAAAATATTAGGGGGCAGTGAGTTGGGTGATGTAAAGGGGAGGTACAGCTCTCCCCTTCCAGGCTAGCCAAGCCCACCCAGGCATGTCCACAGAGCCCTGCAGGTACAGCCTGACCGCCTCCAGGTGTGTGTATCTGGGGAAGCACAGGTGACAGCACTACCTGGAGAGAAGGGTCTCAGAGCAAAAAGGGTTCAAAGCCTTCAGGGACATGCAGTCGTTGTGCAAGTTACTTGGTACAACCACTTTCATGTTCTGCCCCTATTCAAACACATTGCGTTTGTTAAGCTTGTGTGACTTTGTGCCTGATGCACATGGCTGGAGGAGGTCCATGTTTGTTCCCCCTTCCGTTTGTGTGTCTGATACTTATAAGAAATGGGACCAAAATATGAAGGAACGACTGCTCTGTCATCTTCAACCCAGTTGAAGAGTCTTTACTTCCACCTGTACTTCACATTCAGCTCTGCCAATACATACGAATAAATCCAAGAATGAAAATTAACACTAAGTTCTCTGATGAGTCCCACATAATAACACCTTTCACTAACAGTTCATTCTGAATTTGGGATTCAGGCGATGGCTCCACACGCCCTCCCTTTGGTCTACCTGACACTGTGTGTGTTCTGCAGCAGCCCTTCCCTGTCTGTACGATAGGTGCCACGGCTGCCCTGCCTACACCCTGCTCCCCCCGATTTTCCAGCACAGTTGCTCTATTTCATTCACTAAACAATTTATAAAGAAGAATTAGAATAAAAATGAGATGCAAATAAATTCTGTGCTTTCTCCCTCATTTTCAAATTTCATTTTCAGTCCACTCAACCTGTTATAATCTCATAGTGATTTTCATTTAAAAGAGCTAAATGGATATGTGATTATTGTTACAGGAACTAACACCAGACAATTAAATGTTGAGGTGTTGCTAGATAAAGCGGTGTTTTGATTTGCATAAACATGATGCAAGAAAATCCATCTCAAGCGAGGTTTCAGCTCTAAGACGTGTTTAACTTCAGCTAATTACCACAAGTACCTCTATTAAAATTTTAGTATTGAGAGTTAGGATTACAGCAGTTTCATTTTAAGGTCCTATTTATTTTTATTTTGAACACCTAGTCAAAATGCAGAGCTGATCTATTTTCTACTTACAGTCAATTTCTGCAGGTCAACACATCAAAAATCAATTACACAGCCATGAAATTTAGCCATTAAGGATTAGCTGCTAATCTTATTCCATTTTTCGTCTAATCTTCCCTCTCTCACAAATACGTGCACATTCTGAGGATTTGTGAAAATAAGGAAAGACTTGTTAGTTCAAGACTGTGAACTGGATGTTAAGCAATAGGAAATACCAAAATTTAACATCCTAGTCTAATTAATTTTTGTAAATTACTGAGTAGTTGGCTACATATACATGTATTGTGTTTAATGTGGTCATCTTGAACACACAGAACTGTATCTCATGACCAATGACATTAAAGAATTATTTAGAAGAACCCGGATTTGGATCAGCGCTACATTTTTTTCTTTCTGCCCAGTATCTCAAAACCCTTTCAAAACTATATATGCTGAAGAAACCAGAGAAAATTTGGGTATTTAAGGGGTGAAATACAAACTAGACGAGCAGAGTATGGGATTAATCTGGATGCAGCAGATCTTGCATTTGGCAGGGGATGGATTACATGACCAGAGTGTCTTTCATTGCCTATGCTTATGACGTTGTAATTCTGGCAATTACTTTCCAATCATGCCATTTAGGAAAGGGAATCAACACAATATGCCTGTCTTAATGAAACTGTAGGGGGATTTTAGGGAAGCAGAATGTAACCGCTCCTACAGTAACAGTGCTGGCTTCACAGACTAACTGTGTAAAGTGTGCCCTAGAATTTTTACAAATGACTGGCTAGATTTTTTTTCCTCACTTGCAGCAATATTCTGGGTATTTTTACCAACCTCTTTTGGAATGCTTTTAGTAATGAAAATTCTACAGTTTATTACAGAAGGTGATCCCATGTACTTAACTGGCCTCTCAAACAAAGAAATGGTTCTCACACCACAGACAATCTGAGAGCTGCACATTTTCAAGAAATAAAAATAGAAAAGACATGTTCTTCTAAATGGAAAGTTGTCTGCCCACAGAAGAAAAGACCATTATTGTAATGCTGCCACTACAATAATTCTACTTACCCTGAGCTTCCTTCCAAACACAGTCACTTTGCCTTTAATCTGTTCTTTCCTCAGACGCCATTCAATTGAGTTCAAACCATTTTCCATTGGTAGAGAAATGTTACATCGTCCTATGGTGGGAGTTACAGTCCCGGCCAGGACATGAGGTTCGCTGTGAAAGCTAATGCTCATGCCATTGGCATACATCACTCTCAAAGTACCATTATTACAGAGCTGGTAGCTGTTCCTCACTTGATCTACAGCAATAATGAAAAGAAAATAATTTAGCTACTCCAGTCATAAAGAAAACACATAGCTTAATTTGATTGTTTTTTTATTGCACTCCTGTTGATGTTAAATGAAGTCAGCCTGCAATTACCACTTACGTGGTACTATGGTGGAAATTACAGATGTTACTGATTCATGTAAAGAACAGTAGTGTAACAGTGAGCCTGCAGAGAGATACTATGTTTATTTCATTACGTTTTTCCTTTAGTCTTAATTATGAATCAAAATGCACAGTGATATATTTCAACCATGTAATTTATTTCTAATATGAACAAAAAGTCCTGAAAACTGAACTGCTGGATAAACAACAAAACATTAAATTCTAGGATACAAAGAAAAGAAAACAAACAAACAAAAGACTCCACACAACTGTTGGACTCTTTATGGGTGTGAACAAGTAAGCTCCTCTTCTTTTTCTGTCTCTGTTTAGAAACTGTCTCCAAGGAGGTGCTTTGAACAGAATTAGTTTAGCTTTAAATCCTCAAGGTATGAGGCTCCAACAATACAGGCTGGCAGCCACAGTCCCCTATTTGTCATTCTTCATTCTGCCACACAAGAACTGTCCTAGCCAATCACACACCTGGCCTTTTTGCTTTCTGAGAAAAGTTATAAAAATAATCCAGTACTTTTACAGCAGTGCTGTTCTCTCAACTCTGACATGGTGATGTCTATTCTAAGACAGTCAGGATGAGGGTTATAGTGTGCAGCTGTCACCAAAGCATCAATGTTTGTCTGACAATAGGACAGCACCTACATAATTAATCAACCGGTATAAGAGAAATAAAGTCTTTGTAACCATGCATGTCACGGTATAATAATGTATAAATGTTGACATTTATGTCAGGAAGACACTATTGTTCAGTGATGATATTCTTATTCCAGTGACATTATATCTTAATTAAAAAATCCTCATCATTCACCAAACTTCTTTTGGTCTATCTGTGATAACTGTGATTGCTTTTGCTTCATCAGAAACAATGGGTGGGTGCTGGAAAGCTCTACATAAACATGTAACCATTTTGTTGATAATCTTTTCTGACATGATCGGGCTGTCACGCTGTTCTCTGATGTGCTAATTATGGCACAAGATCATCCGCTGGTGCTGTTTTACATTTTACTTTATGGTAGTCTAAAAATTTGGAAGATTTATGTCTAATAATAAAAAGTACCTGAGCCTGTTTTCCCACAAGGGCTTTTACACAGATAGCCAACATTCATCAGTCAGACCGCATCTTTGTGGCAGTGAAGTCAGAACCAATTTTGCAGTGAAGTACAGAGAAATATGTGAGTGGGTAAAGTGAACCTGATACAAGAGGTAACAGCAGGACTAACTTTCATCAGCAGATAATGACCACACATATTTGAAGCAAAGTATGATTGTGAAATGTCTCTTACCTGTCCTGAAGACCTGTCATTTTAGGAATGAGCTTTATGAGAGTTTGTCTTGCAAACCTTATACTTTTTCCCCTGCTCATGACTGTACTTATGACACAAATCTTTTGAGAATTGCTTTCTCAAATTGTGTGTGTGGTTAGGAGATGTGCTGAGAAGTGCACTTTGGTACCTTGAACAACTGTATAGGAAGCCTCCACAGAGGAGAGATTTGTGATGACCGTGACATCATCATCCCGATTAGAATTCTCAATGTCGATGGTAATAGACTTTTCCATTTCTCGATGAAGGCTAGTTACCACTCCAGTGGGACGTGTTACATTGGTCAGGCGCCCTTCATGATCATAGCTAATAGAAAAGTTAGTAAGAGCAAAAAAGCATGAGGATATATGTTCATTTCAATACCCAATGTATTAATAATGCACCAAATTTTTGCAAAAATACAGAATGAAACAGATTTTCAAGAACATTTTGGCCATAACTATTTCTCTGTTGTTGAAAGAATCTATGATGATGAAATATTAATTTTAGAGATACTGATCTCAGCTACATGAGTGTAAATTCAGGCTAGTCTCTTTTAAAATTGATTATTATGGATATACAGAGTGATATGTGGCTCAATTACAGTTAGTAAATTCATCTATAGCTTATTTGTTGCATCTCACTCTACAGAAGTAGCATTGTTATGGATACTACTATATACAACTGCGTACACTGCACATTTGCAACTGAATACTTAGTGAAAACTACTAAGTAGGATTTTAAATGACATATCAAGGAATAAATTTGCCATAAGAGACATCAGCTTGAGAACATAATCATTTCATTTAGATCTTATCTGTGGCACTTGCACTGCGTTTTTGGGTGAATCTTTTGCTCATAAAAATGAAGAATGAGAAGTTAAAGGACAGGACAGGTTGGAGCTGCACAAAGGGCAGCAGTCAAAATATGCCTTGTAAGATTAATTAAGTGCTCCAAAAGCATAAAAATAAATAATAATAATAATAATAATAAAAAGTAAGAGGGCTCTCCATGAGTTTATTGAACCTTAGAGCAGCCACTAGATTTATTTAGAGTTATAACGCCTGGGGAGGGGGCAAAGTAAGAATGCTCCCTGGAATCAAATCATACCGTTTTTCCCTTTCCTTTCATATGCTATATTTCTGTGCATACATATGCTAAAGAAGCAATCCTTTGGATTTAAGGGCAAGAAAAGGGGACCTGAAACACAAAATCAGTATTCCTCTAGTTGCTGCAATACTCTACTTGCACAAGAGTCTCTCACCCAGCCGCTACCAAAGCACACAGCAGAAAGACAAGGAAAAAATGTCCTGTGTAGATAAAGGGAAAAGTTTAGGTAGAGACTGAAACCAACTGGTCATCCTTCCAGTGTAGAAATCCAATGATTGAGAAGCCTGGAAGAGAACTGGTAAATCCTTTGCATTGCCTGAGAGTAACAGAAGAGAAGAGTGATACATTTAGTATTACGAAGCTAGATGATTTCTTTGTAGGTCTGTGTTTAGCTGTAAAAAAGAAAAAAAATGCGAGTGCTTTCAACATGATTTTTTACAATTAAATCATTCAGAAACCTCAAAGCAGGCCACCTGTACTGTACAGCATATCTCCAAAATTAACATACAAAATAGGCTCCTGAGTTAACACAAATATAAAATATGCCTTTCAAATCCATTGCAAATGGCTGCACCCATTCAACTGACTATGGAGGAGGAAGGAAAAAAATCACCTGTGGAGCAACAAGTCTTACCAGAACCAACGGAAGCATTAGGCAAAGAAGTAAATCAATAAAACAAAGCATCATGCGACCTAGAAGGAACCAATAATATAGTGTGTTCATTTAAGCAGTTCAGGATCAAATAAAGATTAAGCAGCATGATTTTTCTTAATAAAAATCACAAGCTTCTACCCATTAGAATATAAATACATGTATATATATATACACATACATATGTTTTACCATATCAACAAGATACTGGATAAAAGATAATACATTTAGATAATCTATGAAAGCCTTTTTGGTTAAGTCTACGTAAAAGGATCCATAAAAAAGGTACTGCAAAGTATGCATAAGGCATAGATGAGGGGAGAACTTGATCCAGCCAAACATCCACCTAGCGAGGAAAAACAAGCAGCACAAAAAATGGATTTTCAGAAACCTAAAAGGTCAATAATGGGATAACCCCTGTCTGTATATGGGCTACTATGGCACGCCTAGTGATTAGCAGAGGTATGAAGAGAATACTTTGGTGTCAAATACTACAGAAGGGATGTTGTTATTTAGGACAAAACTAGAAAAGTCAATGAGTGGTTTCAGAGTGACTATGTAGAGCCTGGTGAACATCCAGAAAAATGGCTGGTGAAACTCCCCATCAGCAAATATATTCAGGTAATGCAAACGAGACAGATTAATTTAAACTCCTCATTCACATTGCTGGGTTTTTAATTAACTCAGGAAAAATTCCTGGGGATTGCTGTGGGCTAGTCACTGAAAATCTCTGTTCAAAGTGCAAGGACTGTCTAAGAGTAAATATGGATGAGTATGTACAGAGACTGAAACAGAAAAATGAAAATATTCCAGTGCTATTTCTAGAAACCAGTGTTTTGCCACCCCTGTCATGGGGCATTTTTCCCAGTGCTGGTCACACTATTTTAAAAGAGAAATGACAGAGATTAAAAGGGTTTATAAGACAACAACAGTACTCTCTATGATGATCTGCAGACCATTTAGTTTATAGGCTAGACATAAAAAATCATTACTTAATGATTATATATATAGATTGCAATACCAGTGTATAAGGAAGGTGTTGCTTTTTTTTTATGCATTGCATCAATAAAATCCTATTTAAAAAAAGTAAAGAAAAAAATAAAATAAAACAAAACAAAACTTTTATGTACTCTGTAATTTAGAAGTGACATTATTGAGGGTTTTTTTTTGAATTTATGTATTCTTGAGACCAAGTGCTCAGTAGACTTCAAAAAACAGTCATTTATCTGAATAATATTAATGTTTTACAGGAATTATATGCTTATATACCTTTCTTCTTCATAACAGGAACCCAATTCTAAACAAATCAAAAAAGAAAATGTGGCAACAGAAAAATATACGGATCAGTCTGGGACATCTCGTATCTCCTTTAGAAGCACCTAGCACTACCTATCACAGTGTGACACAGCATCAGGCGAGATGAGTCAGATCTGATGGATGCACTGAGATGATGGAGCTTTTGTTACCCCAGCTAGAGCACAGTTTCACTGCAAGCTTTTTCTATTAACAAAATTCTAGGGAGTGAATGGGTCCTTTTAAAATCCTAGCACTTTAAAAAACCCACTATCTCCCTGTGCCCACTACCATCTCCCTAGCACAGCGCTTTGCCATGCCCAGACCCGGCAGAGCGGGTTCAGGTCCCTGTGCCAGCAGCCGCCTCACACTGCCCGCACGCAGCAGCAGCCACCGGGGCCCTGCAGGTGTGTGAGCTGCTGGACGATGCTGCCTGCGATGTGCGGACAGTGCTGGACAGCCCAGCACCTCTGAGCCGGCCACAACCAGCTCAGACGTTCTGCATCAGCGAACAGGCACACAGGGATGTGATGGGCATCATAGTTCAGTCATGAGATGCATTTCAGCATGTGTAAAGCTCACAGAGAGCTACAAACATCTGGACTGCATCCCTTCATCAGGCTCGTGGTAACACTCGTTTTCCCGTGTCCAGTATTATGGCACCCTTGTCACCTTTTTATTGCTAACATTCTGGTCTTTGAGGTTTGAAACGTGGACTACACAAGCTCAATGGCTTGTAGGTGGGAGAAGCCAGGACAGTTTCATCCACGGTATTGCAGAAAGGAGCAAGAGCAGCTTTGGACCTACCACAGAGCAGGGCAAGGTGCTGAGCCACATATATGTGCATGCACACTTATTCTCCCTCTCTTAAAAAAAATAATAATACAAGCTGATTCAAGAAAAAAACATAGCATTCTCTTAGGATGCTCCTAAGGCCAAGTGGAATACCACTGAGGACCACTTCAAAGATGTGTGCTTCATGCCCCAGACCAACCCTAAATCTTCCCCATATGAGCCTGCTGTTAGCTGTTACACTATTTAAGAGTCTTGTCTGTTCCTGCTGTGCATCGCTGCATGCATACACACATGCACTATATAACTTCACACACATATATTAAAACAGTGTACGTGTTGGTCTGCATATACACATGCATACATCGATGTTCTGTACAAATTAAATTCCGTGAGCATTTTCAGGGTGCAGTTTCACATAAACTAGAGGAATAACAGAACTGGATTATTTTTGTAACTAGTGTGTGTTAAAGAAATACTCTTACTAAAACATTAAAGAGGAAATAAAACCACACATCTACCAACAGTCCATATGAAAAAACAGTGGTTCCATTCCCAGGGCCACATCTGAAGACGGCCACGAGAGGGCAATGCTTTCCTTTTTAAGGGAAAGAAAGGCATCGTGGAGAAAACACTGATGTGCAATGCTAATTTAGATGTATTCAGCAGACTGAATACAGTTGCTTATAATCCTGCATTACTTATATTTTCTCTAAAAAATAAGAATGTGGTAGCCGAGATGAATACAGTAATAAACTAAAAAAGGTGTGCATCATCGCTATTCTGTAACCTTAAAGATAAGTCTACAGATAAACCTATACAGGTTAGATATAAAACCCTGTTTACCCTTTCTAGCTAGTAACCTGAGAAATGATATTTAGCAATTATTAATTAACTATCTGAAAAAAAAAAGCACCAGACTTATTATACTTAAATGTCATACATGCATTTTGAATGTTCCATTTAGATTCTATTTTAAAAAATGGTCGGTCAGTAAATGGCAATAAGACTATTAAGAATAAGCTAACTATTAAAGAAAACCAGACTAGTGTTTCTATATTTTTAATATAGTTTTGAACTTCATCTGATGAATTTCATTTAAAGAGGAAATTCTGTCTTTTTAATCTATATGCTCATGAACACCAATGTGCTTTTGGGTTATCTACAAATTATGCAAGTTACACAGGGGTCTGACAGATAGCTGGGGATGTAATTTCCTCACTTGTCTCAAGAATGAACAATCAGTAAAGTTAATCAACATTTTATCAACCATGAGTAATATATGAGTCTGAACAGAAAGATAATTTCAGCTCCAAAGGAAACCGCTGTATTTAGGTTTATAGAAATGGGCAACTCAGTAGGAGCAATAGATTGCTGGGGGCTGGTTTGGATTTGAATTATCTGCGGTCTTGCTGGTGACTAAGAACAGGGGCCCAAGCTGGTGAAACAAAAACATGTTTCTGAATGTCACACACAGTCCTTCGTGTTGGAGGTGAGCGAAATTCCTCACTGGCCTCAAACTATGGGCAGGAATTTAGGTGGTTCCATACCCACCTAAAGAACATGGCAAAACTGATGAGATCAAGCAGCCACTTAATCACGTCTAGCATCATACTAGACTGAGAGGCAAAGGCCTTATTCAGCATCAGTGAAAAGCCTACAACAAATTTCAGTAGGATCACTTCAGGGCCTAATCACTACCATTTGAAAAATAAATGTACGCTTAATATATCCAAAAACATTCTTACTCATAAAATGTTGTCCATCCTGTTTCATCACTCTTCGTTGCTAAGAGACCACTGTTCCCGTTATAAGTCATTAATCCAAGCTCCAGGGTCTGCGTTGAAACTAGCTTGAGTCCACCATTAGTGCCAACAGCCAGCGTGACAATCTGATTATCTGGCATCAGTAAGTGGCGGGGCATTCCACTGGCATCCCGACGGACCTTCAAGGAGTTGCCATTGCTGTCCATCACCTCCGTGACATCGTTATCGCTGCTATAGGTGAAATTGTACAAGTACTCCCCGGTAACAAGGCTGAGAGTGTACTGGTGAATCCCGTCAGCATTGAAGACATACAGCTCCTGTTCTCCTGGAGATGCAGCTTCATATTGGTTAAAAGAATTAAGAATGGGCCTGTTTTTACTGACAGCCCTAATGCGGATATTTCCAAGATCAGCTATGTAGATGGTACCATCTGGGGCCACAGCTAAGGAAGATGGTGAATTTAAGATGGCATCAGTGGCATACCCATCATCCCCAGAATAGCAATTACAGTTGACATCATTTTTGCAATCACAGTCTGAAGCTGCCCCTGCAAGAAGGCATATTTCTCCATTGGTAGTTACCTGGCGTAGCCGATTAATTTTTTTTTCATCTGTCTCACTGATGTAAAGAACTCCTGTGTGTGAGATGGCAATGGCACTGGCTGATTCAAGTGCAGAATGAATAGCCAGTTTGCTAAGAGAGTAGTCTATACCAGGAACCTGGCAGTGCATGGGGCGTCCAGCAATAATGCTAACTTGATGGTTTTCTGTGATCCGTAAAATAACATTGTTCTCTAGGACATAAAGTGAGTTGTCCATGGGATTGACAGCGAGATCAGTAGGCCACTCCAGCCGTACCTATGAGTTGCACAAATTATTACTGTAAAACTCGTAACTGAAAAGTACACTTCTAGTGTTTAAAATTCCATGTGTAACAACAGCAAATTAGTGAGGGGTTTATCAGCGTAAATCATGAAACTAAGTCATGAACTGCAGCTACTTCAAACAATTATTTTCTTTTTCGGAAATATTAAAGCTATGTGCAGTGGTAACTTCCGCTAATTGTGTTTCTGTGCAAAGAATGAATGCTACATTGTGAAAGCTCTACTATAATTACAGAAAAACAGGCAATTAAGACAATAACTCCCATTATCTCAACCTTATTTCTCTACAGTTGCATAAATAACCTGTGTTAACCACAGTAAAAGGATGGTTCACTCATTTCAGTAATGAATCAAATATGCTATCATCTTGTGATGCCTAATGTATTTCTTAAGTGGCCAAGCAGTCATCCAAAATAGATGCCCATCTCTTCTAATGCTGACAGGAAAAAAAGCAGCAAGAGTCTACCTGGCTGACATCCATGCTGGAATCGCAGCTTAGAGGTCGAACAGCAGTTAGGTCATTGGAGCCCAGCAGAGTTGATATAATTCCATTCTGATCCACTTTTCGAATCATTGTGGCATCAACAAAATACATGAGTCCATACTTATCCACTGCGATTCCTGCAAGTATGAAAAACAGTCCTCAGCAAAGCTCCTAGCGTCAAGGTAGCTTAATCTCATTAACAAGTGTACAAGATGGTAAAGTTTGTTCACTTCTCCTGCCTTCCAACTTGTACCTTTGGCTTCTGAGCCTGGTTCTGGAACCCTCCAAGTAGCTGTACTTCTGCTGAAGAAATGGCACAAGGCAGGTTTATCCTTTGGGGCTTTAAGGAAATAAAAACCAAACAAATCCCCAAAACATACCAAGTTGTCAGCAGAATGCATCAACTTATTTCTAAATTTAAACTCTGTATGAAATATCACATAGATGCATTAAAAAACAAAACAAAACAAAACAAAAACACTAATTTTTAATCTTGGAAATGTGAGGTACTGTTAGAATTCTTTAAGAATTGGTTCAAAAGTTTTGAAAAATTAGTAAGACATTACATTCTTCCAGGATGTTTTAAAATTCTTAGACCTGCTACAATGAATATGGGCAGAATATCTGTTGTTTTTAAATATCCAGGGTTTCAAACCTAGTAGGGGAAAAAAAAAACACAAAAGAAAAGGTTCAATGCCTTTCACTTTGCACATCCTCAGAGAGGAAAGACATAGAAAACAAAAGGAGGAACAGAAGGATGCTGCTGTCTGTTATGAAGAAGGGGAGGCTTTTTCTCACTTGACTTGCCTGCTTTAATTTGGTGCACTGTGTTGTCTGTCCATTTCTTGGGTTAAAATAAAATATTCATCTAAAAATTTTGCATGAAAGTGGTTGCAGTATTCATCGCATTGCTCAGTCAAAGCTACAGTTTTATCTTCTTAACTTCAATGACGAGGCTTATCTTAAAGCATGCAAGCTGTGCTGTCCCACAAACATATTTTGTACTTGTATAAACTGAAACTATTACCTATACAAAGAAACAGAACCTCTCATTTTTATTCACTTTTACTGTTATCTAGTTACCTTCAACCAGTGTAAGAAAACACAAAGATGTTTCAAACATCTGGCAATACACCTGAGTAATTCATATTTACAATTAAGATGAAAAAAAAATAATCTTAAAAAGCAATACATTCCCAGATCTCTACATAACTTTTTTTGTTGTTGTTGTTATTAAAAATTAGGAATTCAAAAGGGCAAAAATTCTTTTTTTTTTTTTTTCCTTCCCTATAGGAAGAAAAAGCAAACACATAAAATAAAAGCTAAGAAAAATGCCACAGTAGGAAGATTTTCTTCCAAAATGCTATATTACAAACTGTATTTTCATTCCCAGTTTACATGTTTGCTTCTTGGAGTGAGCGTTACCCTGCTAATTTGTGTTCTGTTCTCTTTTTGCAGCATTCAGTGTTGGGGTAATAAAGTTTGCTTTAACTAAACAAAGCACGAACACTTGCCAATCCACTGTAATTAAAGCACGGAATAAAAATTACCAAGCAAGTAGTGATTTAATTGCCAGATAATTATTTCCACATCCAGCCTAGCCTCACACAGTCATTTTCTCTGGCTTCTTTTACTACGTTACCTCGAGGGCTCATTAGGGTTGCGTCCACTGCTTTCCCTCCATCTCCACATCTGGCTTCATCAAAGGGCAGGCATTGCTCTCCGGTCCCTGCTACCACTTCGGAATTACCAGCTAGGTCTTTTGTGCCAGTGAGGGATTTGACTCTGTATATCCGTCGACTGTTGGTGTCGGATACATAGAGTGAGCCCGAAACGGGGTCCACGGCCAGATAGTATTTATGAGCGGGATTGTTGCTTTAGGGAAAAAGAAAGCATAGAACAGAACCAGCTGAGCAGTCTAAAAACTTCACTGGGCTTTCAGAGCTTAGATATTCATCAGACACACAGAGATCTGGAAAGAAAGTCTGACACCTTCCATACAGAGGTGGGATCTGAATAACTACTGTTTGAGGATTTAATCTGATTAGGAACTGGTCAGTGTTTCAGCAGGATTGTCATTCCAAATCTCATTCTCTTTGCTACACCAAACATTGCATAATAGGTCCCAATAAGCCAAAGCCACACAGCAGACTTTCCTCTTCAGCTCTTTTAGCCCTTTAGATGCACGCCAGGTCAATTCTCTTTGGCTTACTTCTAACTGTTACCATCCCCACCCCATGTTTGTTTGTTTGTTTGTTTTTTAAATTACTTCCCTTGAAAGGAGAAGTCATAGAAATAAGATCAAACAATCAGCTTCTGAGTTACTTATATTATGCCACAAGATTTGTGAGGTCTTGCATAAATAGAAGGCAGAAGCATAACAAATTTATTCCTAAAGCAAATTCATTCTTATTCATTCTTATCAAGAATCTCATTTACGGTAGATGAAGATGGTTATGTAACTACAACCAGAGAGACCCCAAGTGTCTGACTTTAACTCCAAACCTTCTGTTACTGACAAACTGGTCTTCAGTTTGAGATTATGACGTGTGCTTATATGGAAAGCTACTTCTCTTATGAAATATATGTTTTTTGACAGCTTGTCACATTTTGGAACTACTTTAGCAAATCATCTGCAAATTGAGAAATGTCAATCTTGGCGATATATATACATTCACATACACAGAACTGCAGTGCAGAAATATTTTCAAAATCTTGCCTGGCTAGTTTAACTCAATTTAGTTGGAATTTAAGCATGATCTGAATTTTCCAGCCTTTGGAGCCTATGGGTGAGCATAAATAAGGTCAATGGTGGTTTCAAAACATAGAAGACAAATGAAGACAGGAAGAAAAAAAAATGAAGGTTACTTACCAGTAACCAGAGAGATTTGCCTCCAAATATCCACACTCCTAGTTTCAAGTGGCAAAAGTGCCCATCTCCAAGAGTGAGGATACGCAGAGATAAGTTATGATGGACATAAGCCATTTCTTGATCAGATTCACTGGAAGTACAGTAAGGGCACTTTCGGCAGATGGATTATTGGCAGCACAAAGACAACTGCATTTATGTGGTCAAGACCAGATTTGGAGGAATGAGGAGGTGCAAAAATATCACTTTCTACAGTTATCTTCCTCTATGCCAGTCTTTGGCATACCATGATTTTTAGGTCAATAAGAATTCGTTCTACAATTGTAGAAAGTAGGAAGGAGATCTGTTTGATCAAAATTAAATAGGCAGAGGTAACACCATCTGCTGAAGTCTAGGAGTGTAGAAATTAGAGATGAAAAAATACAATAAACAAAAAAAATACTTGGCAGTTTTATTTCATGCATGAATCTCGAGTACTTTATAAAGATGGGTATTATACCCATTTTACAGAGGAGGAAACTGAGGCACAGAGAGGTTAAGTGGTGTAGACAAGGTTATACAGGGAGACTAGTGACATTCTTGAGATCAGAGCACAATTTCTTTATTCCCCAAGTTCCTCTCCTCACCCTCAGCAGCAGACTGAGACTACTCTTTTCACATTCCTTCTCATCCTACCAAAACAAAGCTTAATCTTCTCTGCCATATATAAAAAATATTTTTTCCACTTCTTCAGTCTCTCAAGTCTCTGAGCCATACAAACACCTGCACATTACTCATTGTATTGAATTTCTGCTCTCTCTTTTTCCACTACGCTTTGCCCTTAACACTTGAGAACACAACTTCACCGTGACAGTAGTGCTGTGCCATGCTCCACTTTGCAAACACACCCAGATTTACATCAGGGCTTTCCAACAGCAGCAGACCAGCCAACACACCTACATGCTGCTGCTTGCCGTGTCTCTTCTCTGTTGCCTTGCTGAGTGCTTTTAACCTGGCTCTTCTGGAACATGTGGAGCCCCACGTTGGGGGATCAGGACAAATTGAGGCAGGTACAAGCTGGAGCACAGATGTACTGCTGGCTCGGTGGTCTGGGCTGCTCTGAATTGAGCCTGTGGGAGCTGCCCCACTGCCGCTGCAGGTCCAGCACAGCCTCACACAGGGCAGCAGCCACCCTGCGAGACTGGAAAGGTCTCTGGGGTTTTCAGATGTGGTTTGCCAGCCTGTGCCTGCCTTCCTAAGTGAGCGTGCCCCTACTTCCCTTCAGCCTGCAGCTAGCCTAAGCTAAGTCCCACTGTTGCGGCATGGAACAAGGTATGAATCAGGGTAAAGAACAACAGTAGAACATGCGCTTATCTCCCTGTTCTCTCATGCAGTCCTACACGTGTCCATGGAGCTCACCCTGTCTTTTTCCCTGCAGTCTAACTCAGGGCAGTCTTGCCAGGGTGTGGGTCATTAGCTTCTGTTCCCCATCAGGGGAGCACCTCGCTGGAGCTGCTGACCTGTTATACTTCTGCTCTTGAGCTCTGTAAGGGAACAGATGGAGGAAGACTCTCCACAAAAAATATCTGAGGGACTTTGGCACAAGGACAACTAGTGGAAGGCAACGTGCATTCACTGCCTCCAAAACCATCTAGGAGTTTCTTACCTCAAATAGTGAGATGTGTTTTATAAATGAATAGTAAATATTCTCCAACTGGCAACTGAAAAACTAAAGATCTTCTCTTTTCTCTGTGCCATGGTAATCCTTTATTTGAATTACAGAAAATAAAGGAATGTACCTTGCTTTAAAATATCCTCCATAACACTGATACTGCTCAGAGGCCTCTGCCAATAATGCCTCTTCCTCTAACCTCCCTGGTGAGGGCAGCAGCTACCACCTGCAACCTTACCCTGGTCTGCTAGGAAGCCTGGTGCCTGACTGCAAGTGCAGGCAGCACCAGCTTGTGCTTGCTATTCTTCTCATACATGCATCAACAGTGGTAACAATAGCTTTTCTTGAAATATAACCAAAAAAGAGAAGCTGCCCAGAGCAAATCTCTAAGCACCTGAAAAATTAACTATGCTTATAATTGCAAATGAGGAGCCTCCAGCATCACCAGTAACCATTAGCAAATTGTGAATGAATTCATATAGATAAGAAAATCCAGTGGAGTTACACTTCATATACCAAAATATATTATGAACAGGAAATTATACTGTTTACTCCAGACAGGCTTTTGCATCTAACTTATATGGCAGAAATGAAAGAGGTCATGGACAGAACAGTATGGAAGAGCTTATAGCAGCTCTCCTTGTTCTTGCACTTGATCTTCTGCAGGTTGAACAACCCTTTCCACCTGGCAGGGTATGACATGGAGGAAGGTACAAGTGTTTCCTATGCTGCTCACATCCAGAAAGCCCAGTACTAAGAGGAAAACCCTTTTCTCCTAACATCCAGAAAGGTTACACCTCTCTTATGAACCTTACAGTGATTCTAATCCATCTAATGGTTGCACACAACCAGCCCCATAGGCTGACTGTGAAATGCATTCAATGAAAGAAAATAGAAACTATCTTATAAAAAATAGGACAGAGGGTTCAGAAAAATCTCTAATGACCGGAAAATGCATTTTTGACCTATTTCCAGTTGTTAGTGTTTTTGTGAACCTCTCTGGCATTCGTAAAACTGCTGTTGTAGTTTACCTCAACCACTTAGACCAATTACAGACAGCAGTGAGAACTGTTTATATAGAAGTTAGCTTGGGGTTCATTATATTTGCATTCTACTAGAAAATTCTAATTACTGTCAGAACTTATTTGGTTGCTTTTTGACTACATTTCATAATTGCTAACGCTTATCATATTCATAACACACAATTAGCACATAAAATGTTTCTATATATGGTACATGAAGAACATAACGGTACACAAGAAGCACAACACAAAAAGCAAACACAATGAAGCAAACAAACCATATCAAATTATATGGGAAAGAGCTCGTGTCTTACCTATGTTTAAACTCTTTATTTCTTTATAGAAGGGGAACAGAAGGAAAAAGAACAAACAGTTAGCTGAAGAATAGATGGTAAAGCAAACATAGTATTTGTTTTATTTTACAAAAGGACACAGGAGAAGATATCCTCTTTTCAGCACTAGCCTTAACTTGGTTTATGGATGAAGAACGACTGAGAGTGATCCACTTGCATCTAGTTCCCTAGTATGACACCCCTTCCCTCATCCCCCACCCCCCTGTATGCGGCAGGAAGCTTTCTGGACCACTGAGAGACTTTTCACATGGAAATATACGTAGCTTCTGGGCTAGGAGGGAGAAAAACTGGCAGTTTTCTGAATACAGAAGTGAGAGTGGGGAAGCACTGGGATTAGGATATTCTCAGACAGCTCGTTGAAACCTCTTTAATCAAAATAGTTTTCCAACAGGCTATTTCTAAACAAATTTCTATTACGCAGTTTATTTTCTTCTCCCCCAGACACTAAAATAACTGCTTAAGGCAAGTTTGGCTGCTACTTGGTAGCATTTTTTGTAGAGTCTAGTTAAGCCAATCAAAACAAATGTTAGGGTAAAGAAAAAAATACCTTTTAAATGTGCAGTAAGATACTGTGCAATGGGAGATGTGTAGCATTAATTGATACCTAGTTTTCTGTCTAGACACAAGCCGAAAGAAAAGCATCCTCTGCTTCCCAGAAGTAAATTAATACATTCTCCACACTACAGGGCTTCACTGTGTTTTTCTTTGAAGGAATATAAATTGAATAAAACAGTGAGGTGCATGACTCCTGAGCTGCAGAACTCAGTGCACAGCCCCAAACTTCCAATACCAACGTTAAGTGTGACATGCAGTACTTCTGAGCCAGAATTTCTATTAGCCATTCAGATCAAGTACCTTCAGAAAGGACAGTGCAAAGGAAATATGCACGCTGGCTTATTCTGACTTATAAAGATTTATATTGGCTTACTTAAAACCCAAATTATACCCATTGTTAAATCTAAACAAAGTAATACATTTAGTCTGTAATAGTTATGGAAACTCCATTTGCATATTATATGAGCTATTTGATAGTAGCTGAAGACTCATTCTAATTCATACTTAAATGGTTAAGAGTTTGAAGATTTAAATCATTTAAGTCATAGGTATTTTGAAGTGTCCACTGAATCACAATTACTTCTATAAGTGATGTTTGCTACAATGAGCCCTAATTCCCTTTGGAGAACAGAATATGGAAAAGATCATTGGGAATCCTAATAAACAGTGTGTAAAGTCATTTGCAGCTGTCCAACAGTACTCAAAACACAATAACTTCATTGCTCATTACTAACAGTCATAGCAGAAGCTAAAGAAACTACTCTATGGAAAACAGACTTTCATAAAAGAAAAGAGAACATGGACAAGAGCAGAAACAGAAGATAGGCTTCTTAATCTTTACTGCTGTCCTTTCTGCTCACTCACTCTGAAAAGTCTGAGTTGTTTCTAGCATAGGCAGAAAGCAAAATTCTCAGACTAGTAATGTCATAAAGCTGAAGATAACATTTTCAAGTATCTGATGTACTACAAAACTTTGTCAGTGACTGGCATTTGGAAGTGAGATGGATATACATGTACATGTAAATGCCTTTTAATTATCCTAGTTCGAAAATGTTTCTCTTCACCTATATATCTGTAGTCCTATTTACTAGAAAGCTAGACAGATCTGAATTAGTTGGGAAAAAAACACATTGGCATATTCTATGTAAAGCAGAGTTATAGTGTATACTGATAGAAATGTTTATAGCAAGTCATACAGCTGTACCAGCTAGCTTCTGTGGTATATACTGAGCTGCCAGCAGAAAACACTGGATAATTTTGACTTTTTTTTTTTTTTTAAACCTCTGGATAATGAGGCAGACTGATGGATAGGTGCCAGAGAGGGATCTCCGAGTAGAACTGGCCCAAATCTGATCTCTTTTCTCTTAATATAAATTGGAATTCACAACAGTGACATCAACAGAATGACATGAATGGAAGAGAGGTGTGAAATAGAGCTAGGCCTCCCATTCTTTAACAGCCCAATCATTTTGCATTTCCCCCCGCTAATTAAAAACTAACCTGTACAGAAGAAGCAGAGGAATTGGTTACTGGTCATATCATTAAAAAAAAAAAAAGACTAATGACCTAAATTCACTCAGCATGTTTTGCAGCTACATCCAGTTTACAAGAACACTATTCTTTTGCCTGAGTGGGCTGCAGAAGTATCAGAAGACAGCCAGTGCAAGATGTTTTTCCTTATTTTTCTGCCAAATAATCAATAGTGTAGTAACAATAAAAAACAGTTACATGAGTTATGGTTAGAAGCAATAGCTCTTGCCTCTCCTAGAGGAATGAAAAAAGGCGATGAAACAGAAATGGGTGAAGTGGTACACTCTACACTCATGCCCTCCCTATTAAGTGACCAAATCTTAGTATTTTGTGGGGGAATAGAGGTATGATCTTGGAAAGAGTTCTGATGTTACGAAGTGACTCTGTATGTCAATCCTTACTGCACTTGCCAACCTACAGAAATAAGCTTACAAGAATGGGAAGGAAGTGGGGAAGTGCCTTTCTACATCACTGATATGAAAACCTTCCTTCTAATTTCCCTAGATTTCTTTGTTTATCACTGTGGCTCAATACCTTAGGGCAGTCAGTTCTGTAGTTATCAGACAAAACTAAATGATGTACAGTAATGAAGGGAGATCGTATCAAATGATAACCACCAGGAAAGAACAAGATGGTGTGCACTACTGTACTTTTTTTAAAGTTAGTTTGTACTCTTTATTCCTTCTCTATATTCATTAGCTCTAACTCTAGTCTGATTAGCTACAAACTTTGAACTATGCATTTCTGTGCCCCATTTCTCCACTGGAATTGAAATAGGTTGAAAGTGACAATGTTTTACAAAATTATAAAAATAATGGTAAAGGCTGATTTAAGCACAGGCTGCAGATTTGAAGTGCTAAGACTAACTTCTTACCTCAGCTCCAATATACTAGTAACATTCTTGGATGGGAAGATACGCCGAATATAGTTAAAATCTCCAACAAAGAGACTTCCATCAATTCCCACTGCCAGTGCTACAGGGGCCAAAAGCTTATTTCCTTCTGCAAGACCATTGCAGCTAGGACAGGATATGCTTCTTCGGCGCCCATTCCCCATAATGCTGGTTATCACAGCTGGCTGTTGAGTTAGAAACTGATTTTCTCCATTGCCTTTGTGCAATATACCTAATAACAGACAGGAAGAGAGGTGGTTATTACAGTCATTTGTTACAGGTGACTTCAGGTAGTTCTTCTTTCAACAGCTGCTGTTAAGGACTAAACAGTGAAATGACTTCAGCACTGGTTCTCTAACAGTGCAAAAACAGTGAAATAGGTTTGCCAGTAGAAAACAATAAAGGTATAATGAGGGTTCTCTGTTAAAGCACACACACATAAACAGCTACAAACACAAACCCAAGCTTAAACCCATGGTGCTTTGGTATTCAAAAATACCATCAGACATCCTTCCAGCCTAGCACAATTATTAGATTGTCTTAATAACTGGGAAGTGAGGAAGGAAAGAGCAGAGAGGAAGTGTTCCTTGTTAGTCCACCCACATCCATTGAATCCAATTTCTTATGTTACATTTTGTTTGGAATTTTCTTCCAACCTCACTTTCCTCTTTCCCCCCTCCCAGTCTTTCTCATTTTCTTCATGACACAAATGGAGATGCCAAAAAAAGGGGACAGTGCAGAAAAGGAAAAGACAGGAGAAAGAAAGATGGAACTCCTAAAAGGGCTGCTCTGGATTGCTGATGAAAGACAAAAGGGGAACTAGTATTAAGGACCTTTATTAGATTTCAAGAAAAATGCATTTAAGACAGGTTCTCTCTTCTAAACATACTTGTTCTAAAAGTAGATACCTGTTCTAAGAAAGGAGTGGATTCTCTGACAGAGTGACCAATTTCAACACCATCAAAGGTTGCAGAAATCTGGTCAGAAACTGTTAGCCACATTCTCTCTTGGAAATACAGTTGCATGATTCTAATGTAAAGCAACTGGCTCCCCAGGGACAAGTACTGTTGCCATCACTGATGACAGCAACAAATATCATGCTCTATCCAAATGGCCATCTCAGCAGTGTTTGATTTTCTGCACAGCACTTGAAGTGTGTTCAAATCGCTTAATCTTGCCTATTCTGAAGCTTTTGATTTCTTGAGTGACAGTATATTCTGCAACTGTTAATGCAAGAAAGAGCGGGAAGGCTATAGAAAACAGGAATCAAATGAAATATATGTTAAATATTCAATTCCTTGGGAGTCTCTGGATAAAATGTGAAGACCAAGAATATTCAGTTTAGGGTACTTAAATAGAAGTGAGGAAAAACCAAGCAGGTAACACAAGGAAAAAACAAACAAGAATCGGTATCTTGTCACAGTCACATACTCCTTTTAAACCCTATCTCAAATAAGAAAGGAAAAAGTCAAACAAAAGGAACCAGGAATGGATGTGGTTAAGATCAGATGAACAGGGAAGGAAGACAGGAACTAATTGCAAGCAGATAAATGAACAACAGAACAGAGGATAAAGATTTAGACTTTTATAAATTGATGTTTTGTAGGAGGGTAAAAAATCTGTTGAAAATCTACAGAAATTTTCTGACAACTGAAACATGTCCCATTCCTTACGAAACTAAAGAAGAAACAAAAAGAGTGAAGAAATTTTGTTTTTCAAAGGGTAAATATAATGTAAATAAAAAGTGTTCCCATACAAAACTCCATATAGCACAGAAAACATGTGAACATGTGGAACTAACTCACCACTCTTGACATTAAGTACATGATGCTTATCCAAAGACCATCCTCCTAGATTGGAAGGATCTAGTTCAAATCCTTGCAGCAGTGCTGTCCTCTTCTCCCATAAAATCAGACTGGGGCAAGTCTCATATTCAAAACCCACAGAAACTGAAAAAAAAATAAAAATAAAATCTAATATACTTGCTGAACAAACACTAAATTAAATGTCCAGGACACATTCAAATGGATCAGCATTCCAGTTCCCCTGCCCCCTCAAAAAGATGAAGTGATTATATTCCTCTCTTTTCATCTACAATATTAAATTCAGATCTTTGACTAGACACAAATTTGAAACTTCATTCATATGTACTCTGCAGGGATCTGATCACTTTTCTTTGAATAGCTGGCTTTGGGAAGTGACTGGTTTGGTGAGAGAAGAGTGAGAAATATAATTAAAAAAAGATAATAAAATTCTCCTATCAGATAACAGGACAAGATCAAACTCTTAATTTGCCAGATGTTCACAGCACTTATTGTGTTCATTTTACATGCCATATTTCAAGAAGCAGAGAAAATTTTGTGTGTTTTTAAGCACACACACAGTTAGCATTACTCAGGAAAGCAATATCCTATGCAATAATGTAAGAAAGAAAAGCTGTAGCAAAGATTTTAGAAAAATATGGAAAAGAACTATGATTCAAGTAAGTTTTTATTTCCACATTGGCACATCTCTAACGCACAGTCTTTAGCACTGTTGTATCAAAAATTTTCTGATATTCAAATTAAATTGAAAACTTAAAAATATTGTGATGATCACCCACTTTCCTAGCCACTAGAATGAAAAGCTATAAACAAGGGAACTAAAAATATCCGTAAAACTGCTAGACTGAACAGCATTACAAAAACACTGCTTTATTTCAAATGTATTACACTGCAAAAGGCTGGAATAACAGCATGCATGAGACTCCACATGCACCAAAGAATGTCAGTCAGTTTGGATATGAGGTTTATTTGTTAACTGAAAGAATATAAAGACAGTGATGTACCATGTTTTGCCTAAGCCCCTATGGCCAGATTTTCCAGTTGGCAGGTCTAAAATTTCTAAGTCAGCTACTGATCAGGAAACACGGCTGGTAGACCCTCTGAAAGCGATCTTTTAAATATGTAAAAGAAGCATGCTGCATAGATTGTAGCATAATCTATGTGTGGAAGAAAGAACTGTTTAGTACATTTGCTTCTCCATAGAAAATCTTTGCAGTTTTTTTTTTTACTAAAAATTGCTAGTGTTTGAAAAGTTTTTGAGCTTGCATATGCTGACTTACCTACAGCATCTGACAACCCATAAACCTTCTGACCATATGCATCTGTTTTGTCCCAGATAAATGTATAAGCCAAGTTGGGAGATGCCTGAAATGATTTTTGAAATAGATGCCCTTCTACTGCTACCATCAAATGAACTTTGATCAGATTCAGTGGCACAAGTGACTGAGTCATGATGATCTTAAGTAAGGATTTATATCCAGCAGTACGGGAACTCAGGTAGTTGAGCTTTATACTCGAGCCAGGGATCTCAATTTCTTCATGAAGAACCTGAATAGGAAAAAGATCAAACATTTTACATTACTGCTTTTTTATTTTTTAGAATAGTATCTCTGCATATTTTTTATGAACAAATGATTTTCTGCTAGTGGTAATGGCTATCCTCAAATCAGTGCAGTGATAGAGCTCAGCTCCTGTTTCTGGACAAAAAGTTATTTGGTCTCTCTCTATTTTAAAGGGAGTCCACTGCAAAAGCATAAATAAGAACAAGAGTTTTATTGCAAGTTATATGCAAGAGGAATACAAGAAGACACCTAAGAACCTGCAATTTCCACTAACAATTTGTATGAAGTAAATACTGAGTAAAGTAGTGAAAACAAGTGAACTTTTCCTTTGTCCTAAATAACATGTAAGAAAGCAGACTGTGACCAGTTGCATACACCAAGCCTCTGCAAAATTCTCTTGAAACGCCTAAGCTGCCAACTGAAATACACAGATGTACTTGATAAGTTGTATGATAATGAGAAGGTGCAAGGTAGTCAAACATAAATGTGTCTGGGTGAGATAAACTTACGGTATCTCCTACAGACTTCATTAGAAAGCTCAATATCTGTCAGAAATAATGCAACCCTACAGAGGTATTTGTTATAACAATTCCAGGGGACAAATGGTGATTGTGACAAGTGCTTCGGTCAGCAGTAGCATCTGACCACTGATTTTTATATCCTTTTCACTCACGCTATTCTTACCTGGGTTTCTGGTACAATGGGATTTCGGCCAGGAGCATCACTGAAGAAAGTGGAAAGCGGTGATGAAATGATGACTGGATCAGGACGGACAAAGCCACTTAGATCACAGCTGGGAATGGAGTTCTCCTCTGTCTTCATCACGAGTGTGTCCATGGCATAGAAGCTATTCCACGGCAACCATACTGTCCTTTCCTGACTCATAAATGGGGCCCGTTCAAAGTGCAAAGTTAGGGATGCTCCACCATTTGCAACCAAGTCAAACCTAGAAAAACATGGGATTTATAGGTGATGAGACCGAATAATTCCAGTAATAACATTCCTGGCTAATGGAGTATCATCGCAATATGTGTATTTTAAGTGTCATGCCTCAAATTATTGGTAATGGGATGTGAACCTCTGGCAACTAAACAACTGACTGAAATACAGTCAAGACAAGCAGCAATTTGTAGTCATCTGGACAAACATTGTTCCTATATGTTATAAAACCTACATTAAAACAATTTTCAATAAAAGAACAAACAGCCACATTTATTATCACTAGCCACCTTTATACATAGAAACAGCAGAGAAACCAAATTCATACTGAGCTGGACACTGAATTATCCCTTTCCTAATAGATGCTGTCCATCATGAAACAGAATGGGACAGGTGGCAGTAAGAATAGTAATGAAAAGTTTTGCTGTTCCTGTTCTACAAATAAGATAAGAATTCCTGTCTCCAGGATAATTGATCTATCATTTTTCAGAGAGATTAGATATTTACTCCCAAATCCCTGTATAATCACCATAGCACTGCATAGCTCTGCAGGCATTTTGAAATCTGTCCTGAAGGCAAAAAATACTTCTAGGTTGTACTGACAACAGAACTAGTTATCAGGTGTTTCATGTAAATACTGGCAATGTAACAAATTACTCAATGATTTCATTTAGATCTAGAGTTAATAGTACAGCAATATATGAGCCGAAACCACTGAAATCAACAATGTTATACTTTTATTACAACAGCAGATATGTGGACATGAAATACTCTAGTTCAATTTACTCATATTAAGTATTTCAATTCAATAGTTTGCATGAAAGATCAAGAAAAAATGGCAAATGTTTACAATATATGTGTCATAGATATGCTGTTTTAGTTACCACAGCCAGTAAACTACATAAACCATGACACATTAATTTTGGGTTTCTGAATTCGTGCACATTTCAAATCAGATAATACAAGGGGGGAAAAAGCTCTTCTTTGCACAGCAGGAAAATGTCTAAATATATTCAATTATAATCTTTTGAATATATTCTACCCTGAAGAAACACAAAATATAGTGGATCTTCAAAAGGAAGGAGAGACAGAAGGGAACTTTTAACAAAATATGCTATTCTAAAAACGATACTTTTTTTTTTTTTTTCTAGCAGCATTAGCCTGCCTTGCATTTTAAACTAAAATATTGCTGTTCTCAGCTGGGTATTTCTGTACACCACAAATGTTTTTATAGATACAGAGCAATTTATTTGAAGGGAGTCTGACTGCTAACGCATTATTATCAGAAGTCAGCCTTTTCATATTTACTTTCATTTAGTATTCAAAATGCCATGTGAAAAAATACTTTTGTGTTTACTTAATAGCTCTTTGCCCTGGGAGGAATGCAATGCATGGTACCACATGGTTCCATTAGATTGCACCATCTGTTAATCAGCAAAGATATTACATAAAAAATGGGTACTCAATGAAACAAGCAAACTCACGTGCCATCCTGACGAGTGATGGTATAGCCATACTTTGGATACTTGACAAATGACACATTGACCCCAACTAGAGGCGTTCCATCTGTCGTCACCACTTGGCCTCTTATAAGAGACACAAGACTGAAGAAGAAAGATAATTAAAGGTATTGAAGTTAGTTATGAAAACAGTTACAGTGTTTATAAACTGAGTGGTGGAACATTTGTGCCTCATTTACTCTAAATCCGATTTACTGCAAGGTTTATTAGAATACTGAAGATACCATGATATTGCCCAGCTCTCTGTATATACTTAAATCAAGAAAATGCTGTCTATGCAATATGGTCTGTATATATGGAACTGGGAGGTAGCACCTTCCCTTGGGCTGGAACGCAAATGTGATTGCCTAATGAGGCTTTGCAGAGGAGAAATTGGAACAGAAAGTTACATCATGTTCAGCCAAGCCACAACTCTGACCCTGAGGTCCCACTGAAATGATGACTAGTCACTTCTCAAAAAACAAAAAAACCTGGCTGGGTACAATATGATGTTTCAGGATGCCTAGTATACTTCAAAAACATGGTGTTATGCCATACCTGTTTTATGCAACTTATTTTCCAAATTAAGGTGCATGTACCTTTATCTTAGGGAGCACCAGACATTTGTACAATGCACTGGGTCCTGATTCATAATCCTTGCTTTTCACTTCGTCAGCAGAAGTGAGAATTTGATTCAAGGCCAGATTGATTCACAGGCAAAATAAGCAAATTTCTTAGCCAACAGGTTACCTACTTTGCTCAAACTAAAGGAGATTAAGACTAGTTATTCCTCTACAGTAAGGCATATTCAGTCGTCTTCTCTTTTGAGAGTGCTTTGCTGCTGGTGAGTGCACAGCAGGCAGAAACAGCCACCCAACTGCATTCGCAGCCTCCTTGGCACTGGAAGGAGCAAGCCCCACTTCTCCCCGCTCTGCTGCTCTCTGGTGTGGTCAGCCTGTTCCTGCCTCTTTCCTCTGCTCTCCCAGCTGGAGAGGGCTCTCCATCTCCTGGCTCCTTTCCTTTCCACCTTCCCTGTATCCTGAGGGAAACTGGTGAGAAAGGGAAGCTGCACAGTAAAAGGGAGATGAAAAGGAGAAGCTCTGTGTAGATAGGTTGCCATCTTCAGTGGAAGCATGAAGAAAAGGGAACATGATCCTGAAACATGGGGAAAGTTAAACCTCACTGTAACCCCTAATCTCAGGGACCACTACATTTAGTTTTGCTGTAGCCCTAGGTGAAAACGATTTCTATTTCAGCGCTAAGTGCTTCTAGCACGGTCCACCAACTCTCATGTGTTGCTACAGAGTGAGTCTGAAAATCAAAAGCTGCATTTCTGAACTGCCTTTGCACTGCAGGACTGGAGCTGCCCATGAACCTTAGGATGCTTCGGGCACATCGACACACACAGAAACCTGACAAGATAGATACTGAACCCTGATTTCTGGACCCAGTCCAAGCTGTTGGATGAGGGGATTAAACCTGCCTGTGTTTTGCAGAAAACTCACAATATTTAGTTGAATTCTGGGACAGCTTATTTATCCCCTATACATGCATTTCTAAAGCTATTTACTTATCGGAGGATATTAATTTTCATTAGTAATATCAGGGATTGTTTTTAGGACATTTCTGTTATTTCTGAAATGTTCAAGATGCTGTGATGTGCATTTCTAACTGTATTATACTGGCTGTTTAACAATTATTTCCTCATATTTTTATTCCAAACATGGGAGAACCCATTTATGTGAACAAATGAGTTTCATAAAAAATAAACTTATTCATGAAAATGAGTCATTTGAATAACCAAAATATTACTTTTCTGTAATGTAACTTTCAATGATTTCTTGACCCTTCAGGCCAAACTTGATTTTTCTGAAATCACCATTTTGTAACACAACATGGAATTTAATAGAAATTCCATACCTTTTTGAGAAAGTCTATTTGGAAATACATGTATATCCGACCAAGATGATTGTCTTGGCATTATTAATTTTCCTTGAATTATTTTATGTTTTAAAACGAAACAAAACAAAACCCACAAATAGTCGTAGGGAGATAATTACACAAGTTCCTATAGGGGAACAGTGCAGAAAACAGATTTAGAAATAAATCATCCTATGGAAGAAGGCAACTAGTAAGGTTCATGACAACTTTTTCTACCTTCAAGTTCACTAGTTCAGGAAATAACTTGAATAAGAAAATTCTCAGCAATAAACCTTTTTATTTCTAAAATGAAGAAATACTGAAAGCAATGGAGACTAAAATTTGTAGCTAAAATCCAGATTAATATAAAGTACTATCTGACTAGAAGTCAGATACACTGAACCTTCACAACTTAAAAGGCTAAGGCTAATTTTAAAATGTGATTAATAGGCCATTCAAAATGACATGTTAAAACGTGTGAGGTACTTGAGATGAATAAAACAGAACTATGAAAACCATCACCAAGAACTCTATAAAACTTAATTTTTAATAAATCTAAAATTTTAAATTGCAATTTTCCAAAAGAGCTTTAGCTCTGAAGCACCCAGCTCCTGCTCAGTCTAGATTTGTAATTCTTAGACTGTCTTGAAGACTCCAACCCATATCCACACACACAGTTAGATTATTTCTGAGCAAACTGCTTGAAAGTAAGATGGGTGGTTTTCAGCAGCTGATTTTTTTTTTTAAAGCACTGACTATTAAGAAGTGTATTACAACATTATTTACATGTACCCTTCTAACTATTAACTAGTGGGCATTTTCCATTGTTGTAGACTGCAGTCTTCATAAATGATAAAGCTCAGAAGCTTTTGCTCAGTGGAAGAAACCTTCTAGGTGTTGCCAGTATGTTAAAATGCTAATAAAACTCAGTGTTGTAAAACAAAGGCAACATTATAAATTTCCCTTAGAGTGCCCTGAAATGGAAACACGTGAAGCACCTGAAAGCAGAATCTCATGTTAAAACATGAGTAAAAGCTCTGGGAGAAAATTTCCCTTACAATGCAACTGCACAAATGCAATGTCAAATTTATAGCTGCTACCTGCTGTTGAAGGGATTTTCTCCTGGAATTATATGAGTGCTGTCCTTCCCCACTAAGAGCTTGATTCGATCATAGAATGACTTCACAGCTGGTGAACCAGAATGGCTCTGTTGTATGATGTCAAGAGGATCACGGGAACCCCGGCACAGCAGGCTATTTTGACAAGTAGACTGGAGGCAGCAATCTGGGTCTAGGCAGTCAACCAAGCCATCTGAAAGGTAAGAAACATCAAGATTCAGCCAGCTGCACAGTGCTATCAAGCAAAAATATCTAATGGACGTCTTAAGGCACCGGGAAAAAATGTGAATGATTTCTCTTCGTAACAGTTTCTACACCACAAAACCACTTGATAATTGAACCAACAATACAGCAAAGATAAGACATTCTGAAAGTACACTTGTTAAATATCATTAATTAAGAAATTAAAATGGAATCCTCAATAGGGGAGACCAATCTGCCTAGTTAGATGAATCAAATCTACTTTTAACCCATATGAAGACAATATCTAGCACCACCCTTTCCTTTGGTATCATCATTCAACTTACTAGCATTCTCTTTATGGAATTCTACTCTAATTTAGAAATTCATAACCATTTACTTTAAAATACTATGATCTAAGAATTTAAGAACATTCAGAGAATGTTCTAAGAATTTAGAAACATGCATTCATCCACTATCAAGAAATCACAAAAATGAGGCATCCAATCTGCAATCTCTTCTTAGTCTGTAAACTTTCAGAGACTCTCCAAGGCATACAAGTCTGATTTGCTGAATATAGGTTGACCTAGGCACATACTGGACACCATACATGAGAAAGAACATTCCAGTAGGTTAGCTGACAGAAGTACATTAGATTGAGATTACGACTCATCTATTTTCAAGTTTTTCAAATACACAACAGATCTGACACTATGTTACAGAGTGATAATTGTAAGGAAAAAACAAACAAACAAACAAAAAAACCAGCAAACCACCGTCTAAGAAGCTTTCTCATTTTACAATTAACCTGAATTTCCAATGGATTGTGTATGTCTGAAATAACTGCTTCTGATTTAAGAACTAAATTGCCATGCTATAGTGACGATGTTTCATTCAGCTCACTATGGACATTTAAGTTAGACAAACTACCTTGTTGTGAGAGCTATACATTTCTTTAAGGTCAGTCGCCTATTCACATTAAGAGCTCCATTCATCTTGAAATCCTTTCCAACACAGAGGTTTTTTGTTGTTGGTGGTTGTTTTTTGGTTTTTTTTTTGGCTACAGTACATTTTCCAACTATTTTATATAATCATCGCGAAGACACCATCAGCTTCAGATTATAACTCAAGCCAGTTTCCCCATCAAGTGCTGAGAACTTTTTCTCAGCATTCTGCTCTTTCCTTGGTCTGCGATACCTCTACAACCCTGAACTTAAAGCTGCCCACTGTTTAGTCCACTCAGTTCTTTTATTCAGACAACTGTCAGTCAAGAGGATCCTATCAACATATTAGTAATAGCAAGATCAAAACACAGGATATAAATTACTTCCCTTTGACAAATTTACATTTAGCTGTTACAGCTGCCTCGTTTTTTTTACTATACCTGTTATTATAGGTGAGCATATGTTATGGCTGTAATGACCTCATCATGCAGCAGATTATGGGCTGCTGTGACCAAACACTTCTGACGACACCGTGAACTTTCAATTGGCATATCAATCTCTCAGTGTCCTGTCAGTCACGAGAATCACATCTTTATGCTACCAAGCCCCCTTGGATATAGTCTGACATTGCAATCTTCAGTAAATTACCCTGTCACTGCCAATCTTACTGTTATCTCACAAACAATCAAGCAGGCAATCAAACTGCTCTGAACTGCCAGCTAAGGACCCAGGAGGCTAGAAACATTTCCATTCAATATCGGGGAGAAACCTGCGTATAAGTCATTTCATGTAGGAAGGTTTTTATGCAATTATGGGAACTCATACTTGCACACTTTCATATGCTTAGAGGAATATTTAGGAGAGACAAGCATATACAATAACAAATATACTCATGATTTACTTGTTTTGAACTTTATCGCTTTTTAAATGCATTGCAACAAGCTTTCTCATGAAGAGTCTCAGAGTAATCTTCTTCTTACCCTGAAAAACCTTCAGTAATGCCTTTGTTATACAGTCACAGAAAACATGCATGGTCTCCTCCTGCTGCAGCCCAGGATACCACTGACCTTCATTGCTGCAGGGGCACAGTGCTGGCTCACATTCAGCCTGGCGACCACCAGCACCCCAAGTCATTTTCTGCAAAGCTGCTTTCCGACTGGGTGACCCCCAGCATGTACTGGTGCATGGGCTTGTTCCTCCCCAGGTGCAGGACTTTGCACTTACCTTGCTGAACTGTGTGAGGTTTCTGTCAGTCCATTTCTCCAGCCATATTGTACCATTAAATATGAAATTTAGCAAACTTGCACAAACACTTAGCTGCATTAGACTCAGTTGATTAAAACAACGGCTAGAAAAAAATGTACCTTCCGTTAGAGAAAACTGCCATAAGCATGAATTTTAATTGGCATTCAGGACTTTGTTTTTAATATATATTTCAGAGGTTGTCATCTTCCAGATTTCCTCAGGCACGCTGAATTATTTATATGGTTAATTCAATGACAAAAACTTCACCATCGGCCTCATCAAGATATTTTTGCTTTTCAGAGCATACACATCTGAGTTTAAAGTCAGCAGCACTCTGAGACTCTGTATGCTACAGGAAAGGCAGTGCAGAGGGAGTTAAGATGGTGCTAAACCTCTTCCAACAATTTGAGACCAAAAGAAGCCCTGACTTGGCTTTAACTGAGAAGAAAGAAATGGGAAACCTGGATTTAATTTAAACTGGTAGTACAAGATGAGCTCTCCATTGCTGTTCTCAGTTATTCCCAAATCTTTTCAGAAACAAGGTTAGTGTCATGGGATTCCTCCTGAAGACTTCACATCTGCTAACAGAGATGCACATTTCTTGACCTTCTGTGAACTGTTACATAAACTTTTTGGCAGACTTAACCCAAGGCAAAAAATAAAATAAAATTAAAGTATCACATGTAAGAAAAGTCATCTACTTGCTTGTGCACACCTATATTTTAAGATGAATTTTGAACACCATTACAAGGGCTAAAAAGCACACAGCAGAAACAGTGAGACAGATATTATTGCTAATGCATCTAGGAGCTCTCATCATCCATTTTCCTGATCACGTTCAGGTGCTTGGATTCCAAAATCATGCTATAGCTTTCTTTGGAAAGTTGACATTGAGTTTCTGGCTTTTTGTTTGTTTTGTTTTCCATCTCCAACAAGTAAATTATTTTTAGTCCCCACTCTTCACCAAATACAGGTTGTGCTCCAGGTTCAGTGCATGATGCATGTTGGAATGAGCCACCTCTGACCTGACATCCAGCTGCTTGACAGAATGCTTTCTCTACGCAGCAGGGGACAATTCTGCTTCCAAAACAAAACTTCTGAGCACATGCTCAGTAGAGGGCATCCTTACACTTCACTGGTTTCAGGAGCCAGCAACTTTCAGTGTAAATCCTGGAAAATTTTCTTTTTCCAATAAACATTTCAGACTGATGATTAAAATGGAGGTGGGGGGAAGCGGGGAGCAGCAGCTCCTATAAGCCCTGAGGGCGAAAGGGCCTTTGATCACTCTAAGGGCAAATTAGTTAATTTATCATGATCCGATTTTAATTATGTGTAGTATTAATATACCCAAGGTGAAAGAATTAGAGATGCTCTATCAGATTATCAAAAGAGTATGTCTTCTCTCTGCCAATACAGAAATATTTTAATCGAGCTCTAATGCTGCATGCAGAACTGTTTCCATGGACAGACTATTCCACTGCCCAATACATCTTAATATGAGTAAGTTTATCTAATTAAGTTTATCTAATATTTAACCCAAATTTACACTTTGATATCTTGATCTAATTGCTGTTATGTTGGCATACATCACTCAAAATGACTCCTCAGAAGTTCCTGGTGCTAATAAGAAAGGAAATGCTTTTAATCCTGTTCCAGCCCTACTCCTCAAATGGCTTAGCATAACTGGAAAGGCTCTCTGTAAATTGTCAGGATAATTGTTATAAACCAGGCTGTAAATCCAAAATTGTGATAAGGTAGAATAAACCTGGGCTTCTGTAAGGTGTGCATGCCTCTGAACGCCAAATAACTCCCTAATGAGGTTTTTAAGTGCCCTGGAATAGGACATCGGCAGAGCAACAGCTCCACTTTCCTTGCCCACTCAGGACTCCTGTGCTGCCCAGAGCCCTTGCAATCAAGGAAACATAGCCACAGCTATACACTGGGCACTCGGTCACCCCTCAGACCCTGGGAATGCTGGCAGACTATTGATGCTCCATCTCCAAATAACACATCACCAGCAGAGATGACTGAGAGGGCTCCAAGATAAAAACAATATTTGGAAAAATTCATTCAGCTCAGTGGGCACGTTGGTACCATGCCTGTGGAGCCACTGGGGCTTTTTAAACCATGGGATTTGCAGTCACTGAATTTCTTGCTTTCCCTTCTCCATGGGTTATAAGAGCATGTTACTGTAGTAACGTAACCCATGGGGGACACTGTGAGGATAAGCTGGCTAATGTGTGTAAAGACGATTAGAGGCTGACATGAAGTTTTAACAAAACCACATACAAGTACACTCATTAGCTCTCGTCAAACTTATATAATGTCTAGTTTCAATACAGATTTTATATTTGAGCCTACATGACTCACTCTGGCCCTCATCCACAACAGATTTCAACTACTCATTACAGTTAATGTTCTAAAAGTGACTATTGTACAGGCTCTGGGAAGGTACTTTCTGCGCCAAGAGTATTCTGGGTATTTATATTGAGAACTTCATAAAATCTTTTGTCTGTGCTGATTTAGAGACCCCTGCTGAGGCAATGCTTGTTGAGGCAAGCTAAATTACATGATTTGCTTTTGTGCTGTGAAATACTTGTATTATCTTAAATGTCACGAGCCTGATGCAGTATCAAGTCACAGGATTTGTAATTCTCTAAAAGCAATTTTTTTCTAAATGTTTATTGCAGGAAGACACTTCTCTTTTCTTTCTATTTTCTTTCTGTCTAATTTCAGAGATGAGTTTTCTAAGACAACTTAAATAAACAGCCTTTCAATCAGTCAAGTGCACTGTCCTGACAGTGAACTTCACTAGAAATGTATT